GCTCCTTGTGTTCTTGTTCCCCGCCGCTCGTATGTGCCAGTCCTACGTGGCCCCCTTTCCTTGCCCTCCCCATGCCATACGTACAACTTGCCAGCCATCGTCTCCCCGGTGCAGACCCGAACTGAGTGTGGTAACGCCATTCCCCAGTGCGTTCATTGCACCGGTAAAAGGGCAAGAATTTGGACCCGTGGTCGGCCACAAAGTGCACCGCGCTGATGATGTAGTCAACCTCCGGGTCGGAATGGTAGTAGGTCAAGGATAGGCGGGAGAAACCAGGCCGAAGGACCTCCAAATGCTCGAGCAACGCATGTTCGTACGCGTCGCTTGCGTCGGGGGAGAGGCCCAACAGACGTTGCCCGTATGGACCGGCACATTGGCAGCCGCCGCGGCTCTGTAGGCAAACCAAAGAAATCAAGGGGCGGATGGAAAGGAGGGAGAAAGTTTGAGGCGAAGAACAATACCTTGGATGGATATGAACGTGCCAAAGTTCACACCCAGTATGAGACGGGGAAAAGGAAGACATTCCCGACGTTCATGTGGCAATGAAGAGGGATGAGAAGAAGCAAGAAAGAGAGGAAAACGAGTGGTGGTGATTACCTGGATACCGAAGAGGTCGTTAAGCAGGGCGCAGACGAAGTTGTAATGCAGGAAGGAAGGTCCGTGTCGGATCAAAAAGGAGAAGATGGGCAGGCGCGGGGATTGAAAGTCTCCCAATACGACAATGTTTCGGTTGGAACAAAAGGATTCCAAGGTCTTCTTCGCAAAGAGCGCGCCTCTTTCCGTGGCATACGTGGCACCCACCCGCTCCTTCAAACCGAAACAGAGGCCCAGACGGATCGATCCCAGAATATCCGGTGTCCCTCCTTCTTCCCGTTCGACCTGGTTGGACAAGTACCGGTGCGAATGGTCCTTGACAAAAAAGACTGTGCCACCTCCCGGCCGCTCGGGCACGTCGTTCTGGACCAGAAATTTCTTGACGACAAGGACACCTGGAGTCCCGGGGCCCCCTACCAGTTTGTGGCCCGACAGGTACAAGGCGTCGATTTTGTAGTTTGGCCGCGCGTTCGGGGGTAACGATGGCCGTGGGCCTTGCGGCGACCCGGTTGGGCCGATTTCCTCCCCCTCCGACCTGGCAGCCCCCTGGCTCCCCAGCATTGCCCCGCCGTCCCAGCTAGAAGCGTTCATGTCCATTTTCAAATAAGGGGCTGCCGTGGCGTAGTCCCAAAAGGCCAGGGCTCCATACCTGTGCAGCAGGGCCGTAATGGCCGGTACATCCAAGCAGATCCCCGTGATATTGCTGGCGGCCGTGAAAGCCCCGATCTTCAAAAACCGGTGTTGGTACTTCCTACCATGGGATGGAAAACAAGGTTACGAAGGAAAGGCATGGGGAGAGATTGAGAAAAAGACACGTGACTGAGCACTACACAGCGCCTCTTTTCCCTCCCCGCCAGCCTTGTAAAACCCTAAATCCCACCCCCATCCCCGCGTTCGATCGCCTCTCCCTCCGGACCCTCCACGGCTCTTCCTCCCGCCCTACCGTAGCATCAGCTCCAAATGCCGCATGTCCAATCCCCGGCGTCCATCCGCCTTCACGTTGACGATCTTGCAGCCTGTTTCCCGCCATGGCAACATGTTGGAGTGGTGCCCAAAGGGACACGAAAAAATAACGGGCCGGCCACTATCCCCGCAGCCGGGCATTCGCTGGTGGGGCTCCTGTGGGCGGGATGGCTGCGCTGGATGGTGAGGTCTGCTGCTACCATTCACTTTCTTTTCCACCATTCGCTTTCCTTCTTCGTACTGGGCAGGCTCTGGGCCCCCACGTTCTTCCAGTATTGGCTGCGATGTCCGCGGTGATGGACGTGGGGAGGGTAGGTGAAGTTGATGCGGTGGCTCTCGTTCTTTTTGTGGTTGTTGTTGCGCTTTTTTTTGGTGTTGTTTTTTTTCTTGCTGTTGTCGATGCTGCTGTTGCAGCTGCCGCCAATTGTTGAGCCTCAGGACGTGGATCAGTTTCATGACCGCACCCGTAGACCCGCTTCCACAAAAGAAGAGGACATCCTCCGCCTGCTCGTTCGCCCCCCCTTCCCCGTCAATGTGCGCATTGATGGCGGCAGCGATCAAATGTCGAGCTTCTTGCCGGTACAAGGTCGTTTGCAGGCCCGTGACGCTCGTGGTGGTGTGGGTGTTACCATAAAAGGGCATTACCTAGGAATGACAACGAAGTGCGATGGACGCGGTTATGGGACATTGTGACCAGTAGGGACGCCATAAAGTGGAATATACTCCTGAATTCATCCGAACATGCGGTAGTCGCATGCTCTCGACTAAAATTCTTCCCACTTCCTTAAATGTTCGCTTCCCCTGTTTCTCCTTCCCCCCGAGCCTTACCTCCTCGCACATAAAGTCTTCAATAAACCGCAAAGAGCGGCCCGACGCGGTCCAATCCGCGTACACGATGGGCCGACGCCCTCCCAAAGGAGAGGCGAAAGGCCGCAGCCTCCCTAAGAGGGATAGCTGAATCTCACGAACGATGTCCGGGGGATTCCCACCGTTTTTAAGCGTCCTTTGCATCAGCAACTCCCCAAGTGCTTCCTTCTCTTCCAACAATTCGTAAAAGGTGCGATAACTGCATTCTCGGTCACCATCGCCCTGTCGACGTCTTTTTTCCATTTTGCAGCTGTGGATTTCACCGATTGCTTCGGACCCCGCAGGTCTCCCTTCCCGCTGCCCCTGCCCTGTGGATGGTTGTCCCTGTAGGAAGTTGACCGGACCAATCTTTGCATTACGCCCCGGATGGTTGTGTTCCTGTATGTGTGCACTCGGTAGCATGGGTTGGGAGGCAGGGGGCAGCGAGGGCGATGCCACTTCCTCCTCAACTTCCATCATGTCAGTCTGCCACTCGGCAGAACAACAGGCCACAGGGCACCACCCAACGTTCAAAAAAGGCGTCTATGAGCAAAAAAGGAGCAAACGTGAGTCAGTCATAATGTCTTAGAAATTTAGAGGTGCAGTGTGAGGGTGCTGGCCTGAACCCATCTCCGCGGTCGGGTAATTCAGGGTTTTATGTGCTCTCTGACATCAGATGTTCTGGTGGAGCAATCGAGGGTGGGCCCCTAATAAAATCCCGGCGTCGTTATCCATGTCTTTCCAAGGCCATAGCCCCGTGGGAAGATCAGATAAGCAAAAAGACACGACTTCCGGGCGACATTCATGGAGAGAAACAGGAGATGGACACGTGCGGTTGTCGTCTGGGGAAAAAGGGGAATCCACTTACAGCTGGCAATAAGCCATGTGTTGATTCCCCGATTGCCAGCCGGAAAAAGCAGTGGGCCCGCGTGACCCCAACCACAAGACACGAACAGGACGCATACACCAAACCAGGGTTGCAAGTCAGGCCCAAGAAGCAAGGACATCACACGATCTCGGCCATTGACCCGTCCGTCGGCCAAAAGGAACGGTTTTTGCTTTTTTTTAAAGCGCGGGGGGGGGTTGGTGGCTGCCCTCGCTGCCTCTCGCCCGTTCCCCCCCTCGGGAATAATATCCCAACTTCTCCTTTTTTAAATGCCCTCGTTCATGCCAAACCGGCCTCGCGGTAGGATGAACGCGCGCTAGTGGACCTAGTGTGTGATATATCCAATCGTCATGGGCATGACCTCGAGTGTGCCGCGTGCATAGGAGGGGGAATGTCTGTGCACATTTAACCTCCATTCGTTTGCGGATTCATGTTCTATCGTGATCACTGTGTGCCGTCGAATCCATTTTTTCTTCCCTCCATGTCTTTTTTGGAGGGAGCTTCCCGTCTGCAAGGCTGCCTTGGTCTTCGCGTTTCGGATGCGACAGGTTTTCGTGGAAACCCAAGCATAATCAGGGGCTCAGACGATGCAGATAACGAGAATTAGCATTCTTTTACCGAAAATATGTCCAAACCGGTATAATATTCCCACTGAGGGTCGTCGAATCGTGTATCCATGCTTGGACGGGCCCCTCAACAACATCGGATCTAGCTAACTCTTCTTATTCTGAACACTTTTCGACCATAACAGCGGTCCAACATGTTTCTAGGAAGGTGAAGGCAAGCTAAAGCAGCTCGGCTGTTGCCCTGCTGCCATCCCCGAGCTCTTCTAGGCAACCTCGTCGTGTTCTTGGGGGGGAGGGTCCGCGCGCGACGACCATGGCGACATCAAGCAGAGCCGCGCGCGATGCCTACTGCCTGGGGAACTCCGAGTACTTTATCCCTAAATTATCCCTGGCCGAAGCCCTCTTTCTTCTCTGTCTTACCGCCTTGTCCACTGTCACGGTCGGCGCCGAATTGGGTCGTCTCTGGTGGCGGCACAAGCACCACAAAAGCACCACCGCCATCGCGAAATTGCTGGAAACCCTGGTGGGGATTCAAGGTATTGTGGATTTTTTTTTCCACGTCGTCGACTTTTTTTTCGTAGGAGACTGCGTCAACATCCCTCTTGGGTATGTCCTGATGTATAAACCCCTGTCGGCCCTGCAAACGGAGCGAACCCTCATCTACAAAAGCGTCAAGGAGGGTCTGGGTCTATTGAGCGTCTGGTGGCACGCTGTAACCGCCTATGCCATATACTGCTGGATTGTCCGCAAGTACAGTGCCAATCGCTTGAAGGTCCGCCGGCTCCCCTATCTGATCGTGGCCGCCATGGTCGTCACCACCACTCGCATGGTGCTTTGGCAAACCTTGCGGAAAGATTTCCTGGGGTTGCGGCTGGGCAACATTCTCTACGATTTCTTGGCCGTCCCCCTGCCCATTTTGTGCATTTTCCGCTGGAATCTGGGCTCGGCTCGTGCCTTAGCGGAGTACAACAAACACGCCTTGCCCGTGCCAGCCGCGAGCGCCAGCCTGGTGCCCGCCCCCGTCGACGGTGCCGGGACAACCTTGTCGGGCCATGCTTCGGACCAGGAGCAGGCAGCAGGCCCCCTGCAGAGCCTCCGGTCGCGTTCACACCTCCCACGAGGGGCGTTTCAGCCTTCCATGGGGCCTGGCGGGGCCGGTGGGGTTGGGCACAGCGTGCAACAGACCCAACGGAACCGGATCATCATCGCCCGTCTGCTCCGCGTCTCCATCGTTGTGTCGATCATGTGGATCTGGATTGTGGGGGTCAATGCCACCCTCTGGGCGACCTTTTTCAAGACGGGCCACCTGATCCCGGAGTGGGCCATGTGGGTGCGAACCATTTTGATGCGGCTCGTCGGCTTTATCGACGCCGTCATCATGCACGACCTGTTTAAGCGGTGGTGGCTGCGGATTTTGTCTTGCTGGCGCATTTGCACAGGATCAGGGGTCCGAGACGCACAGCACATGGCGGCGGCTGCCGCTGCTGCCGCCGCCGCTGCGGTGGAAGGTGGGATGATGGCTGGATACCCGGATTTTCGGATGGGGCCGGGGCACACAGGCGAAGGCCCCCTGTCCGTGGAATCAATGGGAAAGGAAGGGGTTTCCTCGGACATGGAGGTAGCTCGAAGTGGGGAGGGGTTGGGCCGTACTTACGGGAGGGCGATGGAGGGGCAGGAGCACGCGACGGCGAGTGTTTTGATGTTCGTGTCCACGTACAACATGGGAGGAATCACATTGAAAGATGCGATCGACAACGACGGACTGGCAGCGGTCCTTCCCACCTGGATTCCTCTGGACTACGACCTGTACGTGATTGGGGTTCAGGAATGCTGCATCATCCGGGAATTCCGCCGGGCAGTGCACAAGCACTTGGGGGGACCGGAGGCCTACGTGATGGTGGGCAAGGAGATTGGAGACGATAGGATTCTGCACGGTTTTATTGCCTTGACTATTTTTGCCCGCACGCAGGATGTGGCCACTGGGGCCGTGTATGTACAGGAAGGCGCCGTGGATAGGGTCGCGTCGGGCGTCTCGTTCGGTCCTATGGGGCGGGCACCGAACAAAGGCTTTGTGGGTCTGAGCATGCGTGTGCACGACACCTCCTTGGCCTTGATCACGGCCCATTTTGCCTCGGACAAGAAGGGGAGAAACCGGCTGGGGAAACGGAACCAAGACGCCCGGCGGACCCTGTCGGACATGTCCTTGCTCTGGGATTCGGACGATTTCAGCATTCACACCCAGCATCATTTCACCGTGGTGTTGGGGGACCTCAACTACCGGAACAGGGGCCATCCTGAAGAAATCTTGGAGATGGTGGCGCATTCTGCGCGGGAATGTCAGGACTCGGTGGAAGCAGCCCAGGCGCGAGCCTCGGGGGCCCGAGGGGAAACGGGAGGAGGAGACAGTCCTAGTCCCACTCCCCGGAAGAGCTGGCGTTCCAGCTACGACAAATTTTTCGCGTTGCCAGAAGCGAGGCGGGTGCTCGTGGGGAAACCGGGCTCCTACTGTATGGAGACGAATAGGTTTCAGAGGGCCGTGTCAGAATACGGAAGCGCGGGGAAGGCCAGCCCTTCTTCCAGGCTCACCCCCCTAAGTCTGGGCCGACGTAACACGAGCCTTGTAGGTACCTACATCAAAGAGGAGAGTATGGAGCAGATGGACAGAGAGGAGGAAGACGGAGATCCGGAGATAGAACAGGATCGATGGCAGCAGCAGGCGAAGGAGGGGACCAAAAGGCCCTATCTGTCTACTCCCGTGAGCCTACCGGCGTTGGGACAAAGGATGTTTGATATCAGCGCCCTCAGCAGCAATAGTAGCACCGACAACCCCAAAACCGAGGGCGGGGAACAAAATGTCTCCGGCACCAGTCTAAACATCTCCGGGTTGCCAGGGCCCCAGAAAAGTGGTTTCTCGAGCCGGTCCTCCTCGTCCACTCCAGCCTTGCCCTCCAACGAGTCGTCGATTCTGTCCATGCTGCGTCCGTACCCTTTGGGAATACGTCCCTCGCTTTCCAGTCCGGTCGACTATTTCGAGGGAAGACACCACTGCCGCCATCCCTTCGATTGGGTGGAGCGCACGGATGAACTGAGCGTCACAGTCCGGCAACAGAAAGCTTTTTATGCCTTCGAAGAAGGCCGGATCTCGTTCCCCCCTTCGTACAGATGGAATCGTGTATTGCCCGTGGCAGGCGTCAGGCGGCTAGGGTCGCAGACAGGTGGAGGGAAAGTGCCAAGGGAGGGGAGCGGGGTAAATGCTCCGGAAGGCAATGATCCGCCTGCCGTCGCGTCCGTCGATTTGGAGGCGGGGAGCCAATTGAAAGCCGTTCCTGTGTCCCTAGCCGGGGATTTCACGTCGGTGGAGACGTTGAGCAACGCCTACAGCCTGACGGTGTTGGAGAAACCTGGCTTTTCCTCCTCCTTCGCCAAGTCCCTGGTGCGATCCCTTTCCTTGGGCGGAGGTTTGAGAAGCAGGGAGCAAGGAAAAAGGCCGGGAGGGGAGGAAGAGGGGGTAAGTGAGGACGGCACGATGGACCGGGAGGGGTCATGGAAGAGCGTCGTACCCAATGGCTCGGAGAACGAGGGACCGTGTCCAGACTCTCCCAGTAGGCTGGCGGAGCACGACTCGGAAGGCACAAAGGAAGCCTCGGGCCCTGCAGGCATGTCTGCCCGCACCCCCAGCTACACAGACCGCATTTTGACCCATTCGATGCCTGCCAAAGCCTCCCAATTCCGGTGGCTCTTGTACGACTCCGCGGATTTGGTGGGCTTCTCCGACCATCGACCTGTCGCCGCCGCGTTCGAGCTGCGCGCCGACGAACGGGTGCGTGGCTTCCAAACTCTGGCGTCGGTATCGAGCTCGGCCGTGGCCCCTGAAGGTCCTCGCTTGTCCTCCATTTCACACGCCCTGCCCCCGTCGTCAAATGTAGAACCTCAGGAGGGCAACATGGGCCCGGTGCCCAAACCGTTGAGTAATCGGACTAGCTCTCAAGGCGTGTGGAAAGATCTGGCCGTATTTACCATCAGCATGAGTCGACCGAGCCTGCGCTTGAATAGTCCCACACCTCAGCGGAAGAAAGTGGAGCACAAGGCATTTTTTGGTGGCACCGGTGGGAAAAGGAGACCGGAGGGATTAAGGCGACGGGGATCAATAATGGTGCTGCCAGAGATGGGCGTGACCAAACCCAGCCGGGTGCAAATTCTCTTTCCAATCGTGTCCGAGGACCCTTTTGCCTTCGAACGGAAAGCTTCGCAGTTGGGCGCTGCCCTCCCTGGCCTGGGTTTGGAAGTAAATGAACCAGGAAATCGAGAAAATAAGGGGGCGTCGATGCTAAAGCTGGGAGGGACTCAAGGACACGAGCAGCAGCCACCCGGAGGAGTGGAGGGACCGCACCGGGCATCCTCACCTAGTAGCGGCTCTCAGGAAAGAAGGCGGGAGGATGCCTTTGCAAGTTCGTTACGAACTGTGCCTTGGAAAGACTTTCCTGTCAGGTTTCAAGTGGTGGCATCGCTGCGTTTTTCAGAGCACATGCTTCTGAAAATCAGTGACTCGCGAAATCACGACCTAGGAGAGGCAATTATCCCGATTAGAATAGCCTTACCTCACGTTGCAGGCGCATTCAGCCATGAGGAGCGGCATGCGATGCCCCAGAGTGCCGAGAATGAAGGGCCATTTCCGCATCCAACAGAAATATTCGACGTGGGTGCCGGGAAGTGTCATTCGAGTGTTCATAGCAAACGTAATCATCGCTACCGGTTTGCCTTGTCGGCCGGTGGAGAATTTAAAGGTTTCTTAAGCGTGGATTTGAAAGTACGACATCGCCCCTTCTCGGGAAATGAATTGTCAATTAATCTTAGGGAAGGAGTCGGAAGCGATGCCAAATGAATTTGTAAATGAAGGAGTAAATATGTCTTCTCAAAAGCATGAATTAAATCTGAACGATCGGAAAGCCACCACTTTCCGGTTCTTTCTTTGACAAGCGACTATGTCTAACGGGCGAGGTTACGCTTTTCGCGTCTTAGGCGTCAAAACTTAATACGATGGTCCCTTTTTACCAACTTACCCCTTCAGGCACAGGCTCATCGTGCACCATTTGCGATCAGCCACACAACGATCCCCCCATTTCCTTATCCAACCGCTTCATCCTGAAGGAATATTTTAACATTTTGTATTTGGGAAAATAAGCCACCCCCAGGCCCGTTAAATTGACTTCTGGGCAAGACACTTTCCATAATGCGTGCAATTTGAAGATTTGAAGCCAAAACTTCAACGTCATCCGTTACGACCCGCCTGGTCGCACTAGGCCTCTGCCTGCGCAGCGTGTCATTTGACTACGGCGCAGATGGGGGCAGGACTAAGGTGCCACACATTTTATGCCTTTAACTTTTGAACATCCATGCTTTGCAAAACTCGTTCACTTCGAGTGCGCGCAGGCAAGTGGATCTGATACGATACGACCCCTTCCTTAAGTCAGTCCATCCACATTCCACTCAGATACAAGCACACAGGCGAGGATTACCGCGCAGCCATGGATCATCGTGAAGAAGAAATGAAAGCACTTCGTAACGAGGCTATATCTCTGCGTCGTTCGGGTGCTGATGCTGCCGCAGCGTATGAACGATCCAAAAAACGTTGCGATGAATTAATGGAATCGCTTGTTGAGCTCCAAGCACGCTACGACGCTGCCGTGGAGGCTAGTGTGGCTGCTACTACTTCACAGACGGCCAATGAACCGATTTTCGGGTCAATGTCTCAATCGAAAGGCTCATCATTTGACGTGTATGCACGAATGGTCGAGCTAGAGCGTGCTCTAGCCGCCAAAGATGACATCCTGCGGGGTATGCAAGCCGCAAATGTGAAGGAAGCAACGGAGACATGTGTAAGTGTTAACGAGGAAATGGTGGATGAAGGGCAGGCCATTGATCCTGAGGAATATCAGGATGCCGTTCGCCCCGTCGATGAAGCTTTGGAAGGAGCAGCGATGAGAGATGTCCAGCCCTCCTCCTTTGGGGCTCAAAAAGCTGATTTAAAGACCACGGGCACAGATGACCCGTCAATCGACTACACTCCTCCTGGCGCTGAAGAAAGTGTGATCGAACGGGGGACGCAAATTGGGGGCGGTCTTTCCATTTGCACCCCGGAAAAGCAGGTTCTCAAGGGTACTATCCAATCTTTGTTGTACGATTTAACCTTTCTTAAGGACTTCGCTGGAGCGGAGTTGAAAATCAGCAACGAAGCCTTTCAAGCCATTCAGGAAGAAGGTGCACAAAAAGAAAAGATGCACGCGGATGAAGTTAGGAGCTTGAAGGCAGAATTAGCACAGACCCAGGCTACGCTGGCATCCCTGCGGGCAGAGGCTCAGGAGCGAGCTTCACGCGACAACTTGACCATCCAGGAGCTAGAGGTGACGGTGCAGCTCACGGAAGGAGCCCTCAGGGTTGCGAAGCAGCAGGAAGAAGCAGCGGTGGCCGCAGCTGCCGCAGCAACTGCCGAATGCGTTGTCTCCTTACCGAAGGGAGCGACCAGCCCGGCCGCCACCAGTAAGCTACTCGGGCTCGTGGAAAGTTTGCGGTATCAACTCCAAAAAACCCAACAGCGGGCGGACGAAGCCGAAGATCGGCAAGGACATTTGGTCCAGGAAATGTCGGAATTGGAAGATCGATTGGCCCGGGCAGAGCAACAGCTCGCTACGACAGCAGCAGGGGCTTTGCGAGGTGGGATGGAGGGACCTCTCTCAGCCCCGGAAGACTTGGATCCAGCCAGTCTCGAGAGTAAGGGTAGGCATCATTCTTCCGATGACCGAAGTAGAGCCATGGATAGCTCTGAGACCGAGGCTGCCGCGCCCTGTGCTCCCCCTGCGCCTTCCCCCCTCTCCTCGTCCTCCACGGCTACTGCCAAATATCCTCCCGCCTTGCGACGCGTTCAAGCCGAGCTTTTGCAAACAAAGGCACAACTGGACACTGCGAAGACCAACACTTCCCTTTTGCAAAGGTACATTGTCAGCAGGAGGTTGCAGACGTGGGACGGAGTACAAAAGCTTCTTGAGTCGACGGAATCACAGGGCACGAGTCATGCTTGCGTGACAGCATCCCCCCAGATGGCGTCAGGGAGGTTCGAGGGACACAAAGGTGTAACCCCAGTCCTACCTGCGGCTGGTGCATCGCGACCATCGCCTCCTCCTCTCTTGTTGCCGGGAAAGTCGGAAGCAAAGTCCTTTCCTTCCCCCCCGGCTGGCGTGCCCGCCCGTATCTCTGTTGCTCACGAAGCGGAAGCCATTGGCAAATCCGGGGCCCCAGCCTCAGTTGCATCCTCCTCCCTTTTTTCATTGGATGCGGCGATCAAGTTCTTCTCCTTCTCTTCTCCTTCCTCCGCCACGTCCTCCCCCTTGCCCGGGGCGGAGAAGGTTTCGGGATCCAGGTTCCTTACCAGGGTGGGGTGCGAAGGCGTTGACTGCGGGTAACTGGCCGAGGGGACCACATGTCGAACACAAGAAA